TTAGTACGTTACTTTCTAAACGAAAGAAAGTAAGTGGTAAGGGGTAGGGTAGGAGTACCTTACTACTTAGTAAGTTAGTTCGTATGCACTACGACTAGTCTCTCTCTCTCTCTCTCTCTCTCTCTCTCTCTCTCTCTCCCTTCTCCCCCCCTCTTTTGCACGAAAGCACTCAATTAAGCATATGGGCACAAACCTGGAGTAGTCATTCCAGTAAGTTGAAGTTTGAACTTCTAATTTCATTGTAGAGAGGTGCTACCATTGTCTATGCCACCCATATCTTTGATGGGTTAGAGTCCTGGGCTACTCATGTGGCATACATTCAAGATGGTGAATTGAGGCGTTCAGAGAAGCTTGCAGACGTGAATGAGATGAAAAGCGCGAAGAATCTATACTCTGTTGTTGAATCATGGCTTCGATCCGAAACCAAGACCATGACAAAGAAGGCCTTCAATCCCGCAAGCCATGTGCGCAGGGTCCCCACAGTTAATGATGCTTCTCCCTTTAGATCATCTCGACACATGGCTTACTATCGTTGATATTACCCCAATTCTAAAGAAGACTTCACATTATACTTCACCGGAATTCAAGGTATGTAGGCCCTTGTTTTTATCCAAATATACATTTATTTTTTCATGTAATAATGTTTGGGGAAGGCATATGTATTTAGAGAAGGGAAACTGCACCAGGCATTGCCTTTGCATGATACATACTATACAAACAGGTCACCGTCGATCCATTCTTAAATATAGATGATGAAGACTCATTGTAGTTAGATGAATGTTGCTTATCGGACACTACAGTTGTATACCATATACCCTACATATGTGTATAATAATAATTTAGACACTGTATTTGATTAGTTAATTATTCTTTTTTCTTTTTTCTTTTTGTCCTGCTGGGAAAGCTGATGAATGTTAAATCTATTTACAATGTTAATGGTTAAATTGTGTTAGGCCATAGGCCATGGTTTCCTGCCAAAAATTGCTCTGCATATGTCTAGTACTTCTTGCTCTATGCTTGAATCTCAAAATCATCATATCGATCCTCTTCTATCATTTTTACATGTTATGTCTTGAATTTGGGATTTTTATGTACCTCTTTCTATCCTGATGACTCATGGTCTTGGGTTCAAATTCACAAAGTGGCCAAAGAGGGGGAAGAGATTATGAGTTCAATACTAATATACTAATACTATAGTTGGTTCCAGCATCCCTAGCTTCCTAACAAACTGGTTCAAAAGAAAATTTACAAAACAAAAACTGAGCCAAGATCTAGAAAGTTTCACTCCTGAGTAATTGGGCAAGAAAGAAATTGCAGGGAAAAAGAAAACTCTAAGCGATCCTTCCAAAAAGGGAGGTAATTTCATCATCATAGTTAAAGTCTTTTCCCAATTATTAAGGGTCGGCTACATGAATCCTGGACTGTCATTCTACTCTATTAAGGGAGGTAATTTGGAATATCAAAATAGTGTCCTAAAAAATATGCTTATCCCTCCAAAGGATTGAAGTGCGAGAACCATTTTTAGAAGATGGAGATTAGAACTCGCAAGCCCATTTGTGCGACATGCAATGAGGACCTTGTGTGCATAAGAGTGTATTGTCAGACCAATGTAAATGTCATCTTTGTAGTATTGTACCTATTCTTCCATTAATACATCTGGTGGAAGCTCACTTACCACCCTGACATATTAGTGGGAGAAAAAGGCTTAGACTAGGGGAAAGCCCTAATTGACGTATGTTAAGTTAGCCCAAATGAATTGACTGGTCTTTGCTCATAGCTTTATACCGAGATAAATAGAACTTTCTTTCTAAGGAGCATTGAGTAATAGAACGAGAATTATGGCAAAATGATTAAACAGTCAAAATTCAAAACAGAGAAGTGCTCTATCTTGGAAGAAAATCTGTAATCTTTCAATGGATACCTGAATCATGCGATTGCATTGTTGTTTTGGCTTTGTGAAGTAACCAAAGTTACTAATTTCGTCAGCTCGAATGGTTACCATTAGTGTCTCTTAATTCTTTTTCGGAAGCAAAACAAGGAAAAATCAAAAGAAAAATAAAAATAAATAATGCCTATGGTAGCGGTAAACTAATCAGTTATATTTTTCATGGTCCCGAGCATGCCAATATTAGCACTGATGGTGCGTAAATGTAACTCGCTGTTCAAATAACTATTCAGAGTTTCTATGTTTTGAGTGAACTCCAACAGTTTGAATCGTAACTTGTTCTTTTTGGATTAAATAACTTTGTTATAATTGGTGTTTTAGAACCCAGATTGGGCAGCTGGATTGGTCACTGGCTAGACCAATCTTGATTTCTGATTCGGGCCGTATTGGATTGATTCTTTGGTGTAGGAATAATTTAAAAAAAATAATAAAATAAATAATATTCTATTTTTTAAAAAAATTAAAAAATAAAATGATAATAAAAAAATTAAATGGGCGGGAACTAGGCGATTGAGTCTATCCGGATAGCTTGGTTTCTTAAAAGACTCGTCTGGTTCTCAGACATAATTGGGCAAATACCTATAAATTGGATATATTATTTGTTCTGTTGAGGAATTGGGTCGGTCCTCATCAATTCCCAATTTGGATCGGTTGGCCATTTTTCAATCGGTGGTAATTATTTCCAAATTTGCTGAATGAGCACTCCTAGGCCATTGCAATAAAATTTGTTTTAATGTTAATACGCTATATGAAAGAGAGAAGCAGCCTTTAAAACCCCACCTATATAAAGCTAAAAAGTTCTGTTTAGGTAATGTTACAATTAACATTTTTTAAAATGAAAACCAAATAATGTAAGCCTAAAGAAGTATATGTGATTTGTAGACATTTCATTCAGGTACCTCCAAAAACTATAAATAGGTATCACCCATGGCCATGTTGTTTATCATCATCATAAGCTTTTTTTTAATTAATTGGGGTTGGCGACACAAATCCTGGTGGGTCATTTTGCTCTATTAAGGGTCATACCATCAGTGAAACCATAAATCTTCATATTTTTTTTCACTACTTCCAGCCATGTCTTTTTGAGTTTACCCTTTGCCCTTTTTGAGCCTTTCACTTGAACTAATTCGTACCTCCTAACATGCGGTGCATTGAGTTTGTGGTACACATGGCCAATACACTTAAGTCTATTATCTCATCTTGTCGTTTATTGGTACCACACTTAAATTTTCTTGAATGGATTCATTTCGAATTCTATCTCTTCTTGTCTTGCCACTCATTCATCTCAATATCCTCATCTCTGCTACACCCATGGCTATATTCTTTGTATTAAATCATGATTTTTTAGAGTATACTTTTTGTGTCACTTGAGAAGACATACGACTTTGGGTGCATGACAACATATTAAATCATGATTTTTTATAGTATATTTTTTGTTTTTTCTATCTTTTGGATTTTTATCGAAAAATAACTTGTAAAAGTATTTTGCGAGTCAGCCAACTCACAAGGCTGCTGACTCACAAACGTCTATATTTAAGATGAACCTCTACAACTAAAGGTTATTGTGCAATTGATAAGAATTTTTTTTTTTTTAAAAAAAGGTTTTTAAAGTTTTATTTTATTTTATTTCCTATATTCATGATCATCATCATATAGATCATGGATCTCTACAAATTTGGTTCCAAGATCTATATCAAGAAAGGGTGTTAGAAGGAGCCTGCTTGAGAATAGTATGAGCCGGGGGACTCATAAAAACCCGGTCCTTCATATTCCAGTTTTGAAAATCAGCCAATTGCTTTTTGAAAGAGGTTAGCCAATTGTTATTTATTGAGTTTGATATTTTTCAAAACAATTTTCTCTTCAACTTTTCTCCCTTTTTGAGCTGTTTCTTTATTGTTTTGGAATGACCAGTCTGTATTAACATGCAGTAATTTGAATTTAAGGCTTATAACTAAAGAATGTTATGGATGATAAGTAGAAGGACATTTAAGCAAAAGTTGTTTACTTAGAGGACACGATTTCTATGTGTCCATATAGAAATGAGTCACATTTTGAAATCTATTTTTGAGATGGATTTTTGGACCTAATTTTTAAGAACATGTAATCTCTATTATGGAGATCATGAATATGAAAACATAAATAAATTTTAAAAATTTAAAATACCAATTCTATTAAGAAAATATTTGCAACATTAGTTTTAATTATTTTTAGATGGACCACCTATTTCCATCCATCTTAATTATTTTTAGATGATAGAATTTAAAATGTTATAATTAGATATAAAAATAGAATTTCAGGTAATCCCAATAATGTTTTACACTAAAATTATATGTTATGACAAAATCTGGTGGTATGCCTTAATTGGATTGTTTAAGGTTGCAACCTTATGGAAATCACACCCTTTAAGTAATAACTAAAGAATATTAATAATGATAAGAAGAGGCACATTTTAGTAAAATATTGTTTACTTATATTTTGTATCCTGACTATGTATCAGAAATTCCACCACGATTGGTAACACCTGGGGAAGATATAATTTAGGTGTTCTATGGGTTTGTTGAAAGGATTGAGGGGACCAGGGAGCTTACTTTTTAGTTTTTATTTCTTTTAATTACCTTCTCAAAAAAATACTTCAAAAATGCCAGTACACCCTTGTTATATTAATTGTGATTTTTTGAGTTTTGACCCTTTTGTAATATAAAAATAAAAATAAATAAAAATAGGTAACCTTGTTATATTAATTGTGATTTTTTGAGTTTTGACCCTTTTGTAATATAAAAATAAAAAATAATGTTCCAGTGGTCATACTTCTCAAGGGTTGTGACATTGAACAAGATAATTTAATATTTTTGAGGATATTTTTATGAGGAGGTGTTTGAGTCAAATGAAAAAAAAAAACCTTATTATGTAAATTGTGATGTTTTGACCCTTTTGTAAAATAAAAATATAAAAATATAAAATATTGTTCCAATGTTCATACTTGTCTATTGTTTCAAGAAATTATTATCAAGCTCAATCACTCGAGAGGTAATATTAGAACCTAAATTCCTGCCCCTTTTAGCTTCGAATAGGATATAGAGTTAGAAAAAACCATAACATGATCTATATAGTCGTGAAGGCAACATCATCAGCATTGCTATCATCGTTTAATCAATGAGTTGGATGGCGATGGAGAAGATCAAATATAGACCCCTTCTCCTCTTACCACCATCCAATCTATTGAAGAGACAGTGATGACATTGTACTTGTCTTCCTTTTAATTAGAAAATGGGACCGTGTACCGGGAGACCATTTATTTTAAGTACAATGAATTTACTTTAAGTACAGATATTAAATTTAATAGAAAATGGGATCGTGTACTGTGAGACCATTTATTTTAAGTACAATGAATTTACTTTAAATACAGGTATTAAATTTAATAGATTGAAGTGCGTCACATTATTTGATAAATTTTAATTTGAATTTTGTGCCTAATTAATGACACATTTTCACCCATCCAATTTCACATCTAATGGACAATAATGATTGTTACCTCTTTGTATAAAAAATAAATACTATCATTGTATATATTTTCTTAGAAAATAAACTCAATTTTAGCAATTCATAGGTAAACATTTCAAGGAAACTACTGTCGCAAACAGTGGTTCGAAAATCTGAATCAGGCGACTCCAGTCAAACTTGATGATTTTTAATCAGAAAGAATTACAAATGACGGAAAATCATGAGACTCAAGAGTTCCAGGGTTTTCAGAAGGAGAATTGTTAGGCTCTTGGTCCGATCCGACCCGACTCGGGCAAGATGGGCTATTTTCGAATCACTTGCTATGATGAAAACATGGAACCCACTTGGAAAGCATAAGCTCAGTGAGTGTACGTTCTTGTTGCTCAAGAACCAAACATGTACAGCGGGGATATATGAGGGGTACAATTGTCTTCTATACATAATGTGGAGACAGGCATATCTCTCTCATTCAAGGTTGGGTCGAAAATTTAGAGAGTG